GACATACCCAGGGGGGGAGGAGGGGGGAAACAGGGCCACAGGGGACTGTAAATGACCTAGGCCAGAGTTGGCTTCCTATGCCCTAAAATTACTCGAGGTGGGAGAGACGGTTCTAAGTCTCGAAAGGCAACCTTCTCCTTGGGTTACACTCCCATCATCCTCAACGGGGCTGGCTGGGGATGATGCGGCATCGTAGTCCAGCAAAACAAAAGACGTGGAACTGATGGGAGAAAGGCTTTCCACTCCTCCGTTCAGTTTCCCGGAGGGCAAAAAAAAAAGAGTCCGTTTTCAAGGGATCACAACAAGGAGGGTTGTGTTATTTCTGTAATTAAAAGCAGCGCGCCACACCCCAGCCTTAAAAATCAGGTGCCGCGAAGGTGAGTTTTCTCCTGTCTCTTCCCCCAAGCTATGCAATTTTGCATAACTGATAACCTGTTGCTTTACCCACCCGCCCCTTTCTCTTTCCAAGAGTATAAAAGGCCCTCCGCCAATTGCTGTTTACACCGAGATTCGATTCCTTGGCACTCCGTTGCTAATAACTGTAATTATCGAGGCTGGGAGACAGCAAGGAGCATGCCAGCAAGTTGAAGCTTGCTCGGGGAAGATTGTGCAGGGTTGGTCCTTAAATCTGCTTTTTCTTTCTTTCTTTCTTTCTCTTCCTGGTCGAGAATCGCTGCTTCAACAACTTTGCAGCCTAATCTAACCTGTTTAAAAAAATAAATATTTTTTTTTAATTGAATTGACCTCAATGAACTACTTAGATGAAACGCGATTTGAATTCCTTTGCAGGTTGGTGCAAAACATCTGAGGTATTTTCTGATATATCTCAGATACCTAACCATCCCAAATAGCCCTTCTTTTATTTGATTTTTCTGCCTCTCTCAAGGTTCTAGCCCTCATGATTTGTTTTACGGGGGGGGGGGGGTCCTCGTGTGAATGACCAGAATTGAATCCCAAACATGCTTTTTTTTTTTCGAGGGGTGACTGGACTTCCTTGTTTGTTTTTTTTTCTTTTGAAGACGTTTCGCTTCTCAACCAAGAAGCGTCTTCAGCTCTGACTGGATGGTGGAGGATGGAAGGATTGATTTCTCCTTTCAGACAAGTTGGTCATTTGCATCCTTTTTAGAGGGTCGTCGAGGACACTTGGAGGTTTATCTGAGTCCTCAGGGTCACACCTGAGGGGTGCAAATGGGTGTGGGGCCTTCTTGGAACTGTTGAAAAGACTGTTGTACACTGGAGATAGATGAGGTCGTATATCCCTCCCATTCTATTGAGAGAGGGGCCAAGTAGCCTCAACGATTCTCTAAAAAGGATGCAAATAACCAGCCGTCTGCAAAGGAGTATCAATCCTTCCATCCTCCAACATCCAGTCAGAGCTGAAGAAGCTTCTTGGTTGAGAAGCAAAACGTCTTCAAAGAAAAACCAGAAAGTTCATTTGCCTCTTTTAAAAAAAGCACCTTTTGGACAACCACAACTTGGAGGACTGAGAATCTCTACAGACCACAATTGAGCCTCTTGACGTCCGTTGATAAGCAAGACACTTGTTAAAAAGTAAAATAGTGGCTTACGACCACAATTGAGGTCCAAATTTATTGCTAAGCGAGACTTTTTTTTTTTTTTAAGTGAGTTTTACCCCATTTGGTGACCTTTCTTCCCAAAATTATTGAGCGCATCGCCGCATGTTAAGGAGTTCCTAAGTTAGGAACGTGGTTGTTTAGTGAATCTGGTTTCCTCATCGTGTGATCCCAGGATCCCATCCAAGCTTCCTCACCCTGCAACCATCATAAGTACTAGCCAGTTGCCAAGCATCTAAATCTTGGGAAATGGGACCGCTAGGGTGCTACCTTGGTTCGAAATGGGAGCATTTTCCAATGCTGTTGTAACTTCCGACCGTCATTAAGCGAATGGTTGTAAGTCGGGACCTTCCTCTCTTCGTTGGTAAAAGCAGTGGCAGTTTTCCTACCTGGAAAAGTTGGATCTCTTATCGGACGGCAACCGAACCCAGCTATGAATTTTAAATAGCTGGAACCAAATTTATTTTGCGGGGTGTGATTTATGGTTGTGATGCAGCCTCACCAGTGATAAACTGACGCAGCTGCCAAAGGTGACAGTGATTTTAGTCAACCCTAATAAGAATTATAGAGGGACATGGTGGCTCAGTGGCTAAGATGCTGAGCTTGTCAATGAGAAAGGTCGGCGGTTCGAATCCCTAGCGCCGCGTAATGGAGTGAGCTCCCGTTCACTTGTTCCAGCTTCTGCCAATCTAGCAGTTGGAAAACACATGAAAATGCAAGTAGAAAAATAGGGACCCCTTTGGTGGGAAGGTGACCACATTCTGTGCGCCTTTGGTGTTTAGTCCTGCCGGCCACATGACCACGGAGACGTCTTCGGACAGCGCTGGCTCTTCGGCTTCGTAACGGAGACGAGCACCGCCCCCTAGAGCCAGGAATGACTAATATGTGCGAGGCGAACCTTTTTAACTTTTTAATAAGCGACTGGGATCGTGCAAGCTTGCAGGAGCCGAGTTAGAATGCCTCTGCGGCCCGCCAAAGCCACACCCACCGAACCAGTGGTAAAAAAAAATATTTGAATCCCACCGCTGGGTTGTGCGTATAGGGGAGTGGGAGCATTTGAGTCACGATATGGTTAAACTGCCTGGGGACGTCCTATCTTTGTAGGGTAGACTGCCGATAACACGGCCTGAATGTCCAGACAGCACTAATCCAGAACCAAACAAACCCACGTTATGGCTTATTGCAATGGAGTAAACTGCGTCCTTGGCCAAACAAGCTGGATATGTCTGCCGCTCGCGATGCAATCAGAAAGGAGCTTTTGAAATGATCCTGGACTTCTGAGCACAATTGGGACGGGAATTTCCGTCGCTAACCGAGTTGTGCAGTTTATTGGACAAACCGTGTTTAAACCACGTACAGGTTAGTCCTTGACTTACGACCTCAATAGAGCCCAACGTGGATGCTGCTAAGCGAGACATTTGCTTGGCGAGATTTGCCCTGTTTTACGACCTTCCTTGCCGCGGCTGTTAAGTGAATCGTTGCCATTATTAAGTGAATCTCCAGTGACTTGGCTTGTTAGGTTGCAAAAGGGAGATCACGTGAAACCCCCCCCCGCCCCGCCCAGGATACTGCAACCGTCATAAATACGAGTCAGTTGCCAAACGCCCGAATTTCCTTCACGTGATCACGGGGAGACCATAAGTTGTTAAGTGTGAAAAACAGTCATGCAGGGTTTTTTTTCTCTCAGTGATGATGTAGCTTTGAACAGTCACTAAACAAACCATTGTTGTCAAGGACTACCTGTATCGTGAACCAGCCGGTGTGCGATAGAATAGAGAATAGAATAGAATGTAATAGAATATAGAATAGAATAGAAAATAGAATAGAATAGAGAATAGAATATAGAATATAATGTAATAGAATATAGGATATAGAATAGAATAGAAAATAGAATAGAGAATAGAATAGAATAGAATGTAATAGAATATAGGATATAGAATAGAATCTCTACAGACTTTTATTCATGATAGAGCCGGAAGACAAATCCCTATTGTGCTTTTAAAATGCAGCATCTGTGTTGGCAAATTCTCTTGCCATAAGGACTAGCACCTTAATATTCTTAAAAGAGAAACAAGAAGCAGAGATCCTAAGACGAATTCCCATATTTTCTGGGACTTTCTGCTCCCAATGTAGATCCTTAAGAGGATTATACAAGCAGCAGCAAAGGAGATCTTGGCCCTGGGTGAAAAAAAGGAAGCAGCAAACTACACACACGCACACACAAAAAGAAATATCTTTTTATTTGCAAAGGATAAAGATAAAAAAGGCACCTGGGAAACTCAAAACAGCCCCGTTTCCCAGCTGCTGACAAGGAGAAAAATATTTGCTTAGAAATAAGGGAGGAGGCCAGCTTGCAGGGAGGTGACCCAGCAAAAGAGATAATAACCATTAAAAGAAAAAATTATATTTGCAGAATTGTCAATACAGTTGCAAGGCCATCCTTTCTTTGCAGAAGACGACACAAGCTGGGTATTTGGGAGGGCAGGACCCTTCTCAAACTAACCATGCTCCTTCAACTTACGACATCTGAGCCTCAAATTTGACGCTAAGTGAAACATTTGTGAAGTGAGTTTCGCCTTAAATGTGAGTCGGTCGCCAAGCGCCTGAATTTTGATTGTGTGAGCCTGGGGGTGCTACAGTGGTTGTGTGAAAGAGAGTCACCAGTCAGTCTTTTCAGTGCCTTTGTCACTTTGAACCGTCACTAAATGAATCGATGTAAGTTGATGGGTTACCCCTACTGATAATGCTACCTAGTTTGGGTCATGCCTGCAAGAAAACCACCAAGCTCAGAAAGCATCAAGGACTCCGCATTCCTCCTCCTTTCCACAATCCCCATCCCCTTCTAGCATTGAAGATGTTCCCTAGCTGGGTCGTGAAACGTCTGCAAGAAAAGAAACAAGCTCAGAGAGCACCAAGGACCCCACAATTCTTCTCCTCCTTCCCCCTTCTAGCACTGATAACGTTCCCTAGCTGGGTCGTGAAACGTCTGCAAGAAAAACCACCAAGCTCAGAGAGCATCAGATCCTGAGCTACAACTATTCCCCTTCCTTAATATCAGATTTGGCTACTGCATGAACCTAAATCAACCTTTTAAAGCGAACCGTGAGGCTTTTAAGAAGACAAGCCAACATTTGAGTAGTTTTACTTTGATTGCAAGGTAGGTAGATCCAAAATGCCACAGCAATAAAACGAGAGAATATCAGATTTACGCAGAGCCGGATTTCCTTGCTTCGGGCTTTGCCCGTTTCATGGGGGGGGAAAATATTTTTATTTCCATAAATGACATTTTAAGCAATGAGCGATCCCAGGCTGTGATTTGAAATGATGCCTGTGTTCTTCCCATCTGGAGACAGGAAGGCAAAACAAGCGATTCACTTTCAGCATTCAGCTTCTCCCGAATTCAAAAGAACTCACATCCAGTCTGGGTGAATTTCTCACAAGATTTTATGAACAAACAGGAGGAAGGAAACGTGTTGGAAATGGATACTGAGGACATTTGGTTGATAAGTGTTATTCCTAGGTGGGCTGGCTATTAGCATTTTTTTCCAAGGCACTACCTAACTTCAGAATCGATCGATTGCGTGTCGTCCACAAGAATAAAACCAGAAATGTACGATTTGCAACCTTGGAGATTTTCACGGACGGCTGGTTTTTGCTACCCAAACATTCCCATGTACAACTGTTTTTCTTGCTGAAGATAAATACTGAGCTGTGATTTGGTCAGCTGCAGATAACGTTTGACGTTCGCATCTGGGGAGAGAGAGAGAAGGGAAAGAAAAAAGTTTTTTAAAAGTTAAAACGTCCAGGATTTGCTTGCCTACGTAGTGCTAAGCCAAACAGGTATCGGCTTTGGGGGGTCTTTGGTGCGCTCCAAGTTTGGTGGTTTTCTTGCAGACGTTTCATGAACCAACTAGGGAACATCATCAGTGCTAGGAGGAAGTAGGGTTTGCAGAGAGGAGAACCTGTTACAGATAGTGATGAACAGAGCTAGAAGGGACCTTGAAGGGCATCTAGTCCAACACCCAACCACCCCAGCCCAGCTGTGGAGTTCTTGGTGTTCTCTGAGGTGGGTGGTTTTCTTGCAGACATTTCATGATCCAGCTAGGGAATGTCATCAGTGCTAAAACGGAGGAGGAGGAGAATTGTGGGGTCCCTGTTGATCTATGAGCTGGGTGGTTTTCTCGCAGACGTTTCATGACCCAACTAGGGAACAGCAGTGATAGAAGGGAGTGGGTTTTGCTCTCTGTTTATATACAAGTACTATAGCTGGATTGCAGACAGCAAACCCCACTCCCTTCTAGCACTGATGTTACTTAAGTTGGGTCATGAAATGCCCGCAAGGAAACAAAACTCACTTAACAGAACGTCTCACTTAGCAACATCACGTCTGGGCTTATTTGCGACTCTAAGTCGAAGATCGCCTCTATTCCTCACCTTTGGGCTGCCGGCTGGTTGCCGACAACAGGTAATGTTGTGCTTTGTCGTAATTCCCCAGGTGGTAGAACGCCACACCGGCTCGGTACAGTGCCTTGACGTTGTCGGCTTGCCTCTCTAGGACTTTGAGACTGTAGTCTTTAACCCGCTCGTAATTCACAGGCGGCATCTGAAGGAGGCAAGCTGGAGAGACAGACAGGTTAAAAAAGACAGAGACATGTGCTTTCCGGGACACGACAACAACAAAAGGTTAAAAAAAAGAAAAGAAACCCACTTATAAAAATGGCAAATGAGTAACACCTTCGCTGGAGTGAAAATCCGCTTGGAAGCTGGAAGATCCGGACCGTGTCCATTTTTCAGTTAAACACAGGAAGTCCTCGACTCGCGACAGTTGCTTAGCAACCATCCGACGTTAGGACAACTTGGTTCCAAAGCTATCAGGATCGAGGGTGACAGTGAATTATGTGTCTCAGAATCGGCTTGCTGTCAGGATTCCGGTTCAGCTGTTCTAATTAAATCATGATCCTCGAGCCAAGCTTCGAAAACTTTGAAGGATTTATTAGGAGCAAACATGTCGGTAAGAACTGTACGAAGCCGACTCTGGGACACGTAATTCACTGTCACCCTTAATCCTGGTTTTCCACCCCTGCTACCCCTTTTGGGTGCATCCTAATTCATATTCTCCCACGAGAAACATGTTCCTAGCTGAGAGTCATCAATCGCATTCTCCAATGAAGAGATTTGCAGGCAGAAACTCTGGTACGGCTTTGTTACAATCTTTGCAAGAAAAGGATGGAATGCACTTTTGGTTCCAAACTGCCGCCCTGGTCTTTCAAATTTCCTCCTCCACCCCACTTCTGTTCGTGACAACTCTTAAAGCAGGCATAGAAATAAATGTTTTATGGGTTGACAAGGTTGTTAACATGAGGCCAAACTCATGAGGCCAATATCGCGACAGGAATTTGAGGCCCCCCACTGGTGGTCATAAGTCAAGGCATTGCTCTATCTCTGGCTGCTAAGTTTACCGACAAGAGGGGTGGGGGAAAAATATCAGCAAGCTGGCTTACCGGCAAGATTATTGTAGCAATCGCACCGGATGGTGTAGAGTTCTTTCTCCTGGTCTGCTGTCATGGCCGGCTTGTCAGCCATGAACTCCTGCAGGGGGAAAGGCATGTTGGGGTCGAGGCCCTTAATTTGCAGCAAAGCCCAATGGTAACGGCTCACGGCGTCCCTAAAACGTCCTTCTTTGTAGCAGTGGTTCCCTTCCTCCTTAAAAGTGCGAGCCTGTTGCAGCCGTTGCTCAGGGATTGCATGGGAAGGAACCTGACCGTCGGAGGAGAGAAAGAGAATTGCAATAAAATACAGCCCTCGACTTACGGCGGTCCATTAAGTGACGTGATTGCAAAGCGTGACTTTTAGGACCGTTTTCCACCCTTACAACCGTTGCAGCCATGTGATCCAGAGATGCTTGGCAATGGACTCCTACTTACAACGGTCGCAGTGTCCCATGGGTCGTGGGATCCCCTTTTTGTGACCTTCTCATCAGCCTAATCAATTGAAGAAAGCAGATTGAGTTGGAACAGCTGCCAGCCTGGGAGGAGATTTATTAAACATCTCTGCCTGTTATTAAAACACCTGGTTATTGGGAAGGGCTGGATGAATGGATAAAAATACCAAATCCGATTCTAACTATCTAGCTGACTCAGTGCAATAGGATACCATGGGGATTGACAAAATCCCCCTGCATCAATTGCAAAAGGCACCTTGGCTTGCAACAGCTGCCGTCCTGCCACCAGCCTTTAAGAAATATAAATATTAAACACCGGCTTCTCTCACAAATCTTTGGGAAGGGCTCCACAGGTGGCCGAATGTGCAAACTCCAGCCAAACATCTGGCTGACTGTGCAACCCCCCGTAATAATAATAATACAAAATTTTGGATGACATGGTTCGATCTTCCCATTGCATTGAGGGTGTGCAAATGCAAGCCGCCTAATGCAACTTTTTTGTATTGTTTTCCCTGTTTGCATGTACATTGAAAGCTTCTGCACTAAATTCCTCGTCTGTCTAATCAAATTTGGCCAAATAAAGCTACTATATTCTGTTCTATATACAGTACTATTCTATTGTACTGTCTATACTATTCTATTTTTTATATGTTTTGCTGCAAATGGCAAACTTGCAAATTTGCAAGAAAGCAAGCCACCCCCAACCCGTTTGGCCCCACATTTTTAATCAGGGCTCTTCCCTGGCAGGAATGCAAGTAAAGGGAGGAAGGGACCCCCTCTCTGTGCCCCTTTCCCGGGGTTGCCTGCACCATGGGGAGGGTACCTTCGCCGACGCCATGCGAGGCCTACGAAGACCATCGGCTCCTGCCAACCGACCATGCAAACCAGGCTGCGGCGGCTGCTCTCCAGGTTCTGCCACGCCCCCTTCGGGACCGGAAGCCGAGTGGCCGGCGGAAAAAAACTACCAAAATGGAAGGCGGAGGTTGCCATGTGACCCGCTGAACCGCCAGCTGATGGGTTGGAGTTTTAAAATTGTGGGGTTTTCTTTTTAGGGGCAAAAACCTCTCGTTTTGCAGGTTTGGGCAGGCTGTGGGGAAGCCTTGGTGTGTAAACTGGGACGTTATTAACCCGTAGGATAGAAATGGCGGTAGGGTTACTTATCCTTTTATTATCTCTTATTTCCCCCTTCTCCTGGTTGCATACTTTTTGTATTGTTATTGTTGTTATTGTTTTCTCTGTTTGCATGTACTTTGAAAGGTTCTGCACTAAATTCCTTGTCTGTCTAATCAAATTTGGCCAAATAAAGTTACTATATTTTGCTCTGTTCTATATACAGTACTATTCTATTGTACTGTATATACTGTTCTATTCCATTCTATTTTCTATACTATATTCTAATCTATTCTATATTCTATTCTATTTTCTACACTCTACATTCTATACCAGAGGTCTCCAAACTTGGCCACTTTAAGACTTGTGGATTTCAACTCCCAGAATTCTCCAGCCAGCTATTCTGGGGGAATTCTGGGAGTTGAAGTCTACAAGTTTTAAAGTGGCCAAGTTTGGAGACCCCTGTTCTATACTATATTCTACCTGTATTCTACTTCTATTCTATATTCTATTCCTATTCCATTCCATTCCATTCCAATCCAATCCAATCTAACCTAATCATATATGTATGTATTTTCCCACGTCATTATAGTTGTGCTTTTAAAGTTGCAGCAATGTTTCGGCAGAATCTCATCTGCCATCATCAGGCTTCTGTATTGTGTTTGTCTGTGTGTGTGTGTGTGTGTGTGTGTGTGTGTGTATTCTACATTATGATCAATACTGTATATATTCTATAATCTATTATATTTTCTATTCTACTTTACTTTAGACCGTATCTAATTATTTTCAACTTTTAAATCTATTTAATGCACAACTTTGGGGTACCCATCACGGGGGCATAGATGGAGCAGGGATTTTTTGCTCCTTTTTCAGGTCCATTGTACATTTCTGGAAAAGGAGTATAGATGCATCTAGAAGCAAAATCAGATCTGGATCAGGCAATGCAGTTATTCCTGATTTTCCAGCACCTGGGAGAGCAGCATGATTTTAAGTGCTTTTCAGAGATATCACATTTTATAGAATAACCAGTTGGGGTATTAGAGCCATGAATTAAGAGAAAAGATTTTGGGGGTTTCTTCATAAAACATAGAGTGGACCTGAAGTCCTATGTTCTTTGCTGTACTATGATTCCAATGTCACGATACTGAATTATACAAGCAAGAAGTTCTAGAAGAAAATTAAAAAGGAGAAAATCCTTGGGATGAATGTTGATGCAATTAACAAAGAAGAAAGTCCATTCATAGTTATTTAGGATAGAAAATTCCAAAATATTACATTTTAGGGAGACCCTAAATAAATCAAAACTTCCCTGAAAAGATAGCCAAAAGATATATACTAGTTTTTCTTAGTGTCTGACCAAAATATAGATGCTAACAACAAGAATATAGCAATCAAAATAGCTGTTGAGATGGTAGCATATATTTATTTAAATTTACATTATCATATTATGCTTCGGATAAACACATGTCCATCATTTGACAACAAAATAAAATAAAAATATAAAACATTTAAAAACCTCCAAGTGCAGTTTATGGACTGCTAGATCTTTTTCTGCTGTCAGTTTTCTAGGTTTCTATGCTTCTATTCAGTGGCTTGCAATATAGTAAAACAGGATAGAAAAACAATTACATTTAAAACAATATATAGGTGTTTGATGCAGTGGTATCAGATATACATAAAGAGGACAGGTTATATACATTTGTCAAAGAAATGAGTGAGAACAAGAATAGCTCTCATAGCTATATTTGCCTGCATAAAACTGCAGAGATTTTTTTTAAAAAGCTTCACAAATAGCCAGTGAAATTGGAAATCAAATCCAACTTTCTATCTGTCCAGCCTTTGGAAAGTCAAGGTTCCCTTCCCAAAGATTTAATTATAGTAAGTTTCTTGAGATAAAAGAGGATAAATGAGATTTTAGTTTCCTTAAATTGCATTTTTTGTTTTAGCCAACTTGGAGAATATATATGTAAAGAGGTGCATGATGTATATTAACGTTTAATATATAAAAAAATGAATGATGTGCATGAAACGTGCAATTCTTCTTATTTAAGGGTTTAAATAAAGAATTGTCCAAGCAGAGGGTTTTCTTTTTGGTAAAGATGGCTAAGCAGGTAACAATGATGCTGCTTCGTTTCTTTCCCCCATGCATAGAAGGGTTTGAAAAGGGTTTGATTTGAAAGCTGCACTTGCCCAAGAAAAAAATAAAAATTCTCATTTTAGTATTTGTCTTTTGCTGAGATATTATTTTCTGAGGTGGGAGGGCGTGGAAGATGGCGGCACCTCCAATTGAAAAAAAAAGAGAAACAGTTTCATCCAATCAAGGCAGAGACTGGTTGGACATTTTTTTAAAAAATCAAACCAGGAGACCCAACATCTTCTCTTTTCTCCAATTGGCGGAGCCGCAGCCAATCAGAAACCTCGGCCTCGTTCTTTTCCTCCAGTTGCCTTACGCTCGTTCGAATCGACACGACGCAGAGCCCGCGCGCGCCCAAAGCCCGCGCGCGCATGCTCAGGAGCTTTTTAAAAAGCCATGAGCCAAACCTCTCCTTTCAAAAAAAACAACACAACGTGAGGAAAAGACATTCCCGCTTCAGTCGCCTTCCAAGGAGACGATATTCTTATTTATTATATTAGCGGCAGGGAGGAAGGAGAAAGGGAAAGCAAAAAGAAACGGCCTCTTCCGTTTTAAACTCAAACGTGAAAGAAAAGGATTTAAAAAAAAAAAAACAAAAAAAAAACGGGGGTTCCCGCGCATGCGCGGATTAGACCAGAGAGGCGCGCGCGCCTGCGCGGGCTCCCTTTTCTTCCTCGGCCGGCCTTTCCTGTCTCTCAATTCGCTCGCTCGCTTTCCCCCCCGCCCGTCCGCGCTTGCGCACCCGCCTCCGACGGTCTCTCTCACGCGCGCCAGGGAGGAGGGGGGGGAAAAAGAGCCGCACACTCGCGCAGGCGCAGTCGGCCCCCCTTAATCTCCGCTCCGCAAAGGGTGTAGCCGCCGGGCGGCGCGGTCCTTTGCCTGGCGCGCGGCGGGGCTGCCCGCGCAGGCGCGTTGGCGTCGGAGCGCGCCTCCCTCCCCTCCCTCCCTCATCCGCGGAGCGCGCGCGCCATGGACGTGAAGCGGCTGAAGGTGACGGAGCTGCGGGCCGAGCTCGGGCGGCGGGGCCTGGATTCGCGAGGCCTCAAACTCGACCTGGTCCAGCGGCTCCAAGAGGCCCTCGACGCCGAGATGCTGGCCGCCGGGCCTGAAGAAGCCGGCGCCGAGTCGGGGGCGGCCGGGCAAAGCCTCACTCGGGCCCGCCTGGGCGTTGAGGGGGACGGCGACGACGACGACGAGGAGGAGGAGGAGGAAGAGGAAGAGGAGGAAGAAGAGGAGGACGAAGAGGAGGAGGAGGAAGACGAGGAGGCGCTGCTGGCCGACGAGGAGGAGCAGCCCCCGGAGAAGCCTGAGGCGTCGGCGTCCGCGGCGACGACGACGACGGCAGCGGCAGCAGCGGCGTCGGCCGGCGGCGAGCAGGCCCAAACCGAGCCCGCGGAAGGCCCCGCGCAGCCCGGAGGGGTCAACGGCGCCCAGCGGGCCGCGGAAGCCGGCGAGGAGGCCTCGGCAGCGGCGGCGGAGGAGGCAGCGGGGTCTTCGGTGGGCGGTGAGGCCGAGCAGGGCGGCGACCAGGAAGGTAAGGATGGCTGGGTCTCTTTCCCTCCGTCTTTCTTTCTTTCTTTCTTTCTTTCTTTCTTTCTTTCTTTCTTTCT